ACCGACACAGCAAGGACGCCTTCGCACACCTACAGAACGCTGCAATGCCAACACCTGGACTCCGTCCCCGCTGAAAACAGCTGCACGACCTGCCACACCCAGGCCCGCCTCCTGCAAAACCCCTCTCACACTCGTGTCGTCACGTCCTGCGCAACAAACCACCGCACGTGTTTCGCTATAATCCGCAGCCACACAACACGAATCGCCAATCTCCCCGCACGACGCACCATGCAAAAGAAGCTCCTCCCTGCTCTTGCAACCCACAGCTGGCTTGCCGCAACCCCGCACCCACTTCCTGCGCGAGCGTCAGTTCACAGCCAAACACTGCACTCCTTCGCGACACACTACCTAAAGGAAATGAGTCTTTGAAGCCCAGACAGTCTCCTGCTGTCTCCAGGTGCGAGGAATCTTCACTCCGCAGACCACTACTGCGACGCTACCGACACAGCAAGGACGCCTTCGCACACCTACAGAACGCTGCAATGCCAACACCTGGACTCCGTCCCCGCTGAAAACAGCTGCACGACCTGCCACACCCAGGCCCGCCTCCTGCAAAACCCCTCTCACACTCGTGCCGTCGCGTCCTGCGCAACAAACTACCGCACGTGTTTCGCTATAATCCGCAGCCGCACAACACGAATCGCCAATCACGTCGCACGACGCACCATGCAAAAGAAGCTCCTCCCTGCTCTTGCAACCCACAGCTGGCTCGCCGCAATCCCGCACCCACTTCCTGCGCGAGCGTCAGTTCACAGCCAAACACTGCACTCCTTCGCAACACACTACCTAAAGGAAATGAGTCTTTGAAGCCCAGACAGTCTCCTGCTGTCTCCAGGTGCGAGGAATCTTCACTCCGCAGACCACTACTGCGACGCTACCGACACAGCAAGGACGCCTTCGCACACCTACAGAACGCTGCAATGCCAACACCTGGACTCCGTCCCCGCTGAAAACAGCTGCACGACCTGCTACACCCAGGCCCGCCTCCTGCAAAACCCCTCTCACACTCGTGCCGTCGCGTCCTGCGCAACAAACTACCGCACGTGTTTCGCTATAATCCGCAGCCACATAACACGAATCGTGAATCTCCTCGCACGACGCACCATGCAAAAGAAGCTCCTCCCTGCTCTTGCAACCCACAGCTGGCTTGCCGCAACCCCGCACCCACTTCCTGCGCGAGCGTCAGCGCACAGCCAAACACTGCACTCCTTCGCGACACGCTACCTAGAGGAAATGAGTCTTTGAAGCCCAGACAGTCTCCTGCTGTCTCCAGGTGCGAAGAATCTTCAATTCGCAGACCACTACTGCGACGCTACCGACACAGCAAGGACGCCTTCGCATACCTACAGAACGCTGCAAGGCCAACACCTGGACTCCGTCCCCGCTGAAAGCAGCTGCACGACCTGCCACACCCAGGCCCGCCTCCTGCAAAACCCCTCTCACACTCGTGCCGTCGCGTCCTGCGCAACAAACTACCGCACGTGTTTCGCTATAATCCGCAGCCACATAACACGAATCGTGAATCTCCTCGCACGACGCACCATGCAAAAGAAGCTCCTCCCTGCTCTTGCAACCCACAGCTGGCTCGCCGCAACCCCGCACCCACTTCCTGCGCGAGCGTCAGTTCACAGCCAAACACTGCACTCCTTCGCGACACACTACCTGAAGGAAATGAGTCTTTGAAGCCCAGACAGTCTCCTGCTGTCTCCAGGTGCGAGGAATCTTCACTCCGCAGACCACTACTGCGACGCTACCGACACAGCAAGGACGCCTTCGCACACCTACAGAACGCTGCAAGGCCAACACCTGGACTCCGTCCCCGCTGAAAACAGCTGCACGACCTGCTACACCCAGGCCCGCCTCCTGCAAAACCCCTCTCACACTCGTGCCGTCACGTCCTGCGCAACAAACTACCGCACGTGTTTCGCTATAATCCGCAGCCACACAACACGAATCGCCAATCTCCCCGCACGACGCACCATGCAAAAGAAGCTCCTCCCTGCTCTTGCAACCCACAGCTGGCTTGCCGCAACCCCGCACCCACTTCCTGCGCGAGCGTCAGTTCACAGCCAAACACTGCACTCCTTCGCGACACACTACCTAAAGGAAATGAGTCTTTGAAGCCCAGACAGTCTCCTGCTGTCTCCAGGTGCGAAGAATCTTCACTCCGCAGACCACTACTGCGACGCTACCGACACAGCAAGGACGCCTTCGCACACCTACAGAACGCTGCAATGCCAACACCTGGACTCCGTCCCCGCTGAAAACAGCTGCACGACCTGCCACACCCAGGCCCGCCTCCTGCAAAACCCCTCTCACACTCGTGCCGTCGCGTCCTGCGCAACAAACTACCGCACGTGTTTCGCTATAATCCGCAGCCACATAACACGAATCGTGAATCTCCTCGCACGACGCACCATGCAAAAGAAGCTCCTCCCTGCTCTTGCAACCCACAGCTGGCTTGCCGCAACCCCGCACCCACTTCCTGCGCGAGCGTCAGTTCACAGCCAAACACTGCACTCCTTCGCGACACACTACCTAAAGGAAATGAGTCTTTGAAGCCCAGACAGTCTCCTGCTGTCTCCAGGTGCGAAGAATCTTCACTCCGCAGACCACTACTGCGACGCTACCGACACAGCAAGGACGCCTTCGCACACCTACAGAACGCTGCAAGGCCAACACCTGGACTCCGTCCCCGCTGAAAACAGCTGCACGACCTGCCACAGCCAGGCCCGCCTCCTGCAAAACCCCTCTCACACTCGTGCCGTCGCGTCCTGCGCAACAAACCACCGCACGTGTTTCGCTATAATCCGCAGCCACACAACACGAATCGTCAATCTCCCCGCACGACGCACCATGCAAAAGAAGCTCCTCCCTGCTCTTGCAACCCACAGCTGGCTTGCCGCAACCCCGCACCCACTTCCTGCGCGAGCGTCAGTTCACAGCCAAACACTGCACTCCTTCGCAACACACTACTTAAAGGAAATGAGTCTTTGAAGCCCAGACAGTCTCCTGCTGTCTCCAGGTGCGAGGAATCTTCACTCCGCAGACCACTACTGCGACGCTACCGACACAGCAAGGACGCCTTCGCACACCTACAGAACGCTGCAATGCCAACACCTGGACTCTGTCCCCGCTGAAAACAGCTGCACGACCTGCCACACCCAGGCCCGCCTCCTGCAAAACCCCTCTCACACTCATGCCGTCACGTCCTGCGCAACAAACTACCGCACGTGTTTCGCTATAATCCGCAGCCACACAACACGAATCGCCAATCACGTCGCACGACGCACCATGCAAAAGAAGCTCCTCCCTGCTCTTGCAACCCACAGCTGGCTTGCCGCAACCCCGCACCCACTTCCTGCGCGAGCGTCAGTTCACAGCCAAACACTGCACTCCTTCGCGACACACGACCTAAAGGGAATGAGTCTTTGAAGCCCAGGCAGTCTCCTGTTGTCTCCAGGTGCGAGGAATCTTCACTCCGCAGACCACTACTGCGACGCTACCGACACAGCAAGGACGCCTTCGCACACCTACAGAACGCTGCAATGCCAACACCTGGACTCCGTCCCCGCTGAAAACATCTGCACGACCTGCCACACCCAGGCCCGCCTCCTGCAAAACCCCTCTCACACTCGTGTCGTCACGTCCTGCGCAACAAACCACCGCACGTGTTTCGCTATAATCCGCAGCCACACAACACGAATCGCCAATCTCCCCGCACGACGCACCATGCAAAAGAAGCTCCTCCCTGCTCTTGCAACCCACAGCTGGCTTGCCGCAACCCCGCACCCACTTCCTGCGCGAGCGTCAGTTCACAGCCAAACACTGCACTCCTTCGCGACACACTACCTAAAGGAAATGAGTCTTTGAAGCCCAGACAGTCTCCTGCTGTCTCCAGGTGCGAGGAATCTTCACTCCGCAGACCACTACTGCGACGCTACCGACACAGCAAGGACGCCTTCGCACACCTACAGAACGCTGCAATGCCAACACCTGGACTCCGTCCCCGCTGAAAACAGCTGCACGACCTGCTACACCCAGGCCCGCCTCCTGCAAAACCCCTCTCACACTCGTGCCGTCACGTCCTGCGCAACAAACCACCGCACGTGTTTCGCTATAATCCGCAGCCACAAAACGCGAATCGCCAATCACGTCGCATGACGCGCCATGCAAAAGAAGCTCCTCCCTGCTCTTGCAACCCACAGCTGGCTTGCCGCAACCCCGCACCCACTTCCTGCGCGAGCGTCAGTTCACAGCCAAACACTGCACTCCTTCGCGACACACTACCTAAAGGAAATGAGTCTTTGAAGCCCAGACAGTCTCCTGCTGTCTCCAGGTGCGAAGAATCTTCACTCCGCAGACCACTACTGCGACGCTACCGACACAGCAAGGACGCCTTCGCACACCTACAGAACGCTGCAATGCCAACACCTGGGCTCCGTCCCCGCTGAAAACAGCTGCACGACCTGCCACACCCAGGCCCGCCTCCTGCAAAACCCCTCTCACACTCGTGCCGTCGCGTCCTGCGCAACAAACTACCGCACGTGTTTCGCTATAATCCGCAGCCACATAACACGAATCGTGAATCTCCTCGCACGACGCACCATGCAAAAGAAGCTCCTCCCTGCTCTTGCAACCCACAGCTGGCTCGCCGCAACCCCGCACCCACTTCCTGCGCGAGCGTCAGTTCACAGCCAAACACTGCACTCCTTCGCGACACACTACCTGAAGGAAATGAGTCTTTGAAGCCCAGACAGTCTCCTGCTGTCTCCAGGTGCGAGGAATCTTCACTCCGCAGACCACTACTGCGACGCTACCGACACAGCAAGGACGCCTTCGCACACCTACAGAACGCTGCAAGGCCAACACCTGGACTCCGTCCCCGCTGAAAACAGCTGCACGACCTGCTACACCCAGGCCCGCCTCCTGCAAAACCCCTCTCACACTCGTGCCGTCACGTCCTGCGCAACAAACTACCGCACGTGTTTCGCTATAATCCGCAGCCGCACAACACGAATCGTCAATCTCCCCGCACGACGCACCATGCAAAAGAAGCTCCTCCCTGCTCTTGCAACCCACAGCTGGCTTGCCGCAACCCCGCACCCACTTCCTGCGCGAGCGTCAGTTCACAGCCAAACACTGCACTCCTTCGCGACACACTACCTAAAGGAAATGAGTCTTTGAAGCCCAGACAGTCTCCTGCTGTCTCCAGGTGCGAGGAATCTTCACTCCGCAGACCACTACTGCGACGCTACCGACACAGCAAGGACGCCTTCGCACACCTACAGAACGCTGCAATGCCAACACCTGGACTCCGTCCCCGCTGAAAACAGCTGCACGACCTGCTACACCCAGGCCCGCCTCCTGCAAAACCCCTCTCACACTCGTGTCGTCACGTCCTGCGCAACAAACCACCGCACGTGTTTCGCTATAATCCGCAGCCACACAACACGAATCGCCAATCACGTCGCACGACGCACCAGCAAAAGAAGCTCCTCCCTGCTCTTGCAACCCACAGCTGGCTTGCCGCAACCCCGCACCCACTTCCTGCGCGAGCGTCAGTTCACAGCCAAACACTGCACTCCTTCGCGACACACTACCTAAAGGAAATGAGTCTTTGAAGCCCAGACAGTCTCCTGCTGTCTCCAGGTGCGAGGAATCTTCACTCCGCAGACCACTACTGCGACGCTACCGACACAGCAAGGACGCCTTCGCACACCTACAGAACGCTGCAATGCCAACACCTGGACTCCGTCCCCGCTGAAAACAGCTGCACGACCTGCTACACCCAGGCCCGCCTCCTGCAAAACCCCTCTCACACTCGTGCCGTCACGTCCTGCGCAACAAACCACCGCACGTGTTTCGCTATAATCCGCAGCCACAAAACGCGAATCGCCAATCACGTCGCATGACGCGCCATGCAAAAGAAGCTCCTCCCTGCTCTTGCAACCCACAGCTGGCTTGCCGCAACCCCGCACCCACTTCCTGCGCGAGCGTCAGTTCACAGCCAAACACTGCACTCCTTCGCGACACACTACCTAAAGGAAATGAGTCTTTGAAGCCCAGACAGTCTCCTGCTGTCTCCAGGTGCGAGGAATCTTCACTCCGCAGACCATTACTGCGACGCTACCGACACAGCAAGGACGCCTTCGCACACCTACAGAACGCTGCAATGCCAACACCTGGACTCCGTCCCCGCTGAAAACAGCTGCACGACCTGCCACACCCAGGCCCGCCTCCTGCAAAACCCCTCTCACACTCGTGTCGTCACGTCCTGCGCAACAAACCACCGCACGTGTTTCGCTATAATCCGCAGCCACACAACACGAATCGCCAATCACGTCGCACGACGCACCATGCAAAAGAAGCTCCTCCCTGCTCTTGCAACCCACAGCTGGCTCGCCGCAATCCCGCACCCACTTCCTGCGCGAGCGTCAGTTCACAGCCAAACACTGCACTCCTTCGCGACACACTACCTAAAGGAAATGAGTCTTTGAAGCCCAGACAGTCTCCTGCTGTCTCCAGGTGCGAGGAATCTTCACTCCGCAGACCACTACTGCGACGCTACCGACACAGCAAGGACGCCTTGGCACACGTACAGAACGCTGCAATGCCAACACCTGGACTCCGTCCCCGCTGAAAACAGCTGCACGACCTGCTACACCCAGGCCCGCCTCCTGCAAAACCCCTCTCACACTCGTGCCGTCACGGCCTGCGCAACAAACCACCGCACGTGTTTCGCTATAATCCGCAGCCACAAAACGCGAATCGCCAGATCACGTCGCATGACGCGCCATGCAAAAGAAGCTCCTCCCTGCTCTTGCAACCCACAGCTGGCTTGCCGCAACCCCGCACCCACTTCCTGCGCGAGCGTCAGTTCACAGCCAAACACTGCACTCCTTCGCGACACACTACCTAAAGGAAATGAGTCTTTGAAGCCCAGACAGTCTCCTGCTGTCTCCAGGTGCGAGGAATCTTCACTCCGCAGACCACTACTGCGACGCTACCGACACAGCAAGGACGCCTTCG